ATCTATATTTTCATTTTAAATAACTTATATGTTAATTATAAAAAAAAATCTCGATAAAGAATTTACAATTATTGTGTATGTTTTTTTTCTTAAGATCTATATGCAAAAAATGTGTTCAATACAATATCGTCTGTACGTACCCTAAAAGGCTATTATCTAAAACGAATCACCGTAAATAAAGGCATTTGGGCCGACAACTTCACGTGTGGATGACATACACAACTCCCACTCCACGCGGGCTACGTTGCTTAAATTTGATGATGGAGGCTACAGAATAGTGAATATGCTTTGAAATTTCCTACAACGGAACAACGTCAGTATCTCTCAGTCACACGCCTTTTTGATTTCACACAACGCCAACTCGCAGGTCGACGCATTTCAGGTTTGGACTACATAAGTTCACTTAGTATTGTCTGAACGTGTCTTGCACCCACTGCATTTTCAATGAGATCCTGAGCTGTGAATCACGTTATGTAAAATATGATTTATCTTTACTTATATTTAATAATATTAATTCAACCCTTTTAGCGTCCATTGCTTGGCACGCGCTACCCCTCAATGTGACGGGCATTAGACATAGACCACCACGCGGACTAAATGGTTGGTGGACTTCACATGTCTTACGAAAAGTCTTAAGGCTTTCACAGACACATGTACCTACAGGTTTTCTTATGGCGTTTTCCTTTACTATATTTTTTTTAAAACATCCAAATTTCAATAGGGAAGATGGCTGGGTACTACCATCGTCATGGGATTCTGTTATTAATATAATAAAATCAAATAATAAATCTAACACAACAGACAGGTGGATGTGTAAGTTCTTACTGTGTGGATCAAAATGACAGCATTTCAGATTACTATTTTTCATTTTTTTTCATTTGTAAATGTATGTAGTAATTAATGTCTTGCTTAATAATTTGTTTTTTTTTTAAAATAACAAATTAAAATTATTATTTTTAATTAATTTTACCTTTTTCAAATTACACATAGATCAATTATGTGGCTTAAACAATTAATATATTATATTTTTTTCTTTATGGTTATAAATATAATAATGGCAACACTAAAAATATAGATTACTAATTAATATTTTTAGAATTGTAATAATTATAATAATAGCAGCTCAAATTAAATAAATAATATTCCATATTTAATTATAAAACTAATTAAAATTATATATAAATATTAAAAGTTAAAAGTTAAAAAAGTATTGTATGGTACTTTGGGGCCATTTTTCAATTTTTTGAATTCATTTTGTTATTTGTGGGTAGGCTGTTTGTTGCTGTAGAGCATTCGAAACATCGGGAACCAAAAATAAAAATAAATTCGCGAAAAAATCCGAAAAGATAGTTCTAATGTAACTTATGAACTTATGTACTGAATCTTTATCTTATGACGTGTATGGTGTTTATAGCCGCTAATCTCTGGAAGCCTTACATATTTAAAAGAGAGTTTTACTAACATATACGAGTAGAAGATCAAATCGAGAAAGACATGCTATACATTCAGATTTTTACTTTATTTGATTTTTATAACTAAGTATATAACTTTTGAGATGTTTAAAAGTTTAGTCTCTCCCATGACTATGATTGCTGTAAATAATTCGAAGAGCGGGAATCAAAAATGCAATCAAATAGGGGAATCAAGGGAATCAAATAAATCTGCGAAAAACCCCGAAAAGATAGTTTTGTTAATAAAAGACAAGTTATTTTTAGTGTGATGAGCGAAGCGGCAGACGAAAGCTAATTTAATATTAATAATGTCGTCACATTCGCCATTTAATCCAAATATAATCTAGAAAGAACTTATTTTGAAAAGAATTGAAGTGAAAATGAAGAAAGCTAATTCTGCTGTAAATTGAATCGCGCGCCGGGGGGCAGAAGTTTTATGCAATATAGTATAGTTCGGTAGACACTGCTGTAATTATACTACGTGCGGAGCGACACCGAGGTAATGGAATGCAAACAATGCCCGAGGCTATCGCTATTGGGACTTAGAATCTGGCGTAGACTTACGACAGTATCGGCCAGTACATTTGTCCACCTTTTTTTTTTATTTTAAGTAAATGTATGCTGATACATTAAAAGATATAATTACATCTATTTCATAATGCTTGAGCTTATAATTAATACTAGCGATTTACCCTCGCCTCGCTCTTGTGCGTCAATACTCAACAGGTAGCCTAGGTACCAGTGTACTAAATTTCACTGAAATGTTTCCACCAGCCGTTTTTGCTTGAAGGAGTAACAACCATACACACACATACAAACTTTCGCAATTATGATAGTATAGTCCGACAAACAAGTATCTTTCCGTGCGACTTCGTCGAAAAAGTGCGATTAAGTTGTACTTCATGGTCTAAAACTTACACGGTTTTAGTCATATATTTTTAATGCATAAAGAAATATTGATTTTTTTGTTATTCATATAACGAAAAATATTGATATAATGGATACAATAAATATTTTAATAATAAACATCATTAGTTTCTTTCATGATTTCTTCTCAGCACTGGTATTTTTTTTTAAAGTTATGAGTTTGAATATATTTGAAGTAGAATTTTTTGCGAATAATAAATAATTATTTTATATTTGTTATTAAAAAAATATTAAAATATAATTAAAATATCAACATGGATATTTAAAGTTTTTAATTCCAATCACCTAAGATATAAATTGCGTTTAAAAACTTTATAAGCCGTATTGAGCTATAAAGATTTTTAGTCCCAATTTTAGCTAGGATATTTTATTAGTGCACAGGAACATCGATACCAAAGAAAATATAAAATATTTTTACCTGGCAAGTTTAAACTATTTTCTGTTTTTGTTCTCATAAACTCTTGCACGTAAAAATATTTACAACCCTACACGAAAAGGTTGTTTTTTTATTATCGTTCCGTAGCCATACGGAAAAACCAAAAAATATCCCTATAATTTCTTCATATAAGTCGTCTCCGTATTTCGTCATTTTACTCGGAAGCTATTTCAAACTATATAGATATAAAATACAAATTAAATTCTATTATGTATTACTACTATACTATACTTATATGTTTTACACGAGTTTAACATTAATCTTTGATCTACCTTTAGTATAAGACTATGTCTGATGGACTGCATGGCTTTTAGTAAAAATTTTAATCACATAAAGGAAATATTTTATACTAATATTTCTAATAAAGCAGGAAATATATCAATATTTATAGTTATTTTTCTCTTTGTCTAATTTTTAAGTTTCCGAATAGTGAACCAGTATTGAGTTTCTGAAATTTTTTACATTTAAAGCCTACTATAAACATTTATTTTTATAATTAAAAACTACACTAACTTTAAAATCATTATTTTCAAGTAATTATAATTATATACTTAGGTACGGATTTTTCACGCTTATATACAAATACAAACAAAAATATGAATTGAGTAACTCGTCTGTTTTTGATGTCAGTCAAAAAAGCTTGAATCAACTTTGGACAGCTGTAAGCGAGCGCAGGCGACTGAGTCGCTACATCTGTTAAAGATACTTATTTTCAATATAAACGCTAGTCTACACCGCCCTGTCCGGGATCTACGCTAATAATGTGTACAGTGGCGCAGCATTACCTGGTGTTTCTTATTACCTACTTGTTTGCACTGCGAGGAACGCTTTGCAATGTTATTTTTATTAGAATTCGTAAACTTTTACAGTCACTTACGTATGGATTCAAACCCTGAAAACTGAACTCTGAATATGGATTTATATTGATTTTCCACATTCTCTTTAAATTTCAGTCGACGCAGTTTAAAAATATTTTATGAGCATATCGATATTTAAAATAGAAAATGTTTGATGTTTATTTATTTCAGTTACAATTATTTCTGTATAATCCGGTTTTATATAATAGTGGCTAGCATGTGCTGCAGATAGATGTAGATTAAGTCCTGAGTTCGAGTCCCCGATGGAAGATACTGGCAGTGTTGAATCCTTATACCTCGAGAAGCACGTAAAGTCGTCAATTGTGTCGGATTGCCATCATTCTAGAAAATGTAGTTTTTATTTTTTTTATTTTTTTCAATATATATAAAGCATTATTTAAAATAAAAGCTATTTAAACAATAACTTTTTTATTTGTAGCAGCTTTAGAATATCACTGCGATAATTCCTGGTATCACAGAACTTTACCTTTAGTTCTATCCCTAAATCGAAATTTCACTTTTGAAACTCAGATTTATTCTTATAAGTACATGTAAAAGCGACTAGGATATACAGCGACCTGTATTCAAAATTATGCCTGTTTTATTTCGTACATTAAACTAAATCTATGAAGAATGGTATGAAGCCTTTATCTAATTTTTTAATCGAAACCAGAATCAAATACGCAGTATATAATATATATTATGAAGGTAACAAAGCCGTCGCGGAACGCCTGGCAGATGTAAAACATCGAAACTATTTTGTATAGAAAATACGCATGGATGCTTTTTAAAGGCAGTAAGTATGACAATTAAAAACAATATATTCCGAATTTTTTAAAAGAAAAATAGAAAATACGCATGATCATATGGTTTTGGCACATATTATTTATTGGCACATATATATATTTGGCACAGATTATATACGAATACAAAATATTTAGATTTTTTTTTAAAAGAAAAAATATATATTTAAAACGCATACGAGTCGGTGTTACTGCCAAGATGCACCCAATTGATGTTTCACATTAAAAATACAATGATTTTACAATTGAAGGACTTATCAACTAATTCGATTATTATTATCTCTTTTAAAATATTTAAAAGTTAAGTGAAGTTATAAATTTAAAACTTACTGTTTGACTGAACAAAGAACAGCAAATAAAATCTCATTATAGGTAACGATATCATTATCTAGACTTATATATAAATCTGAAGAAATTTGAATGTTTGCTTGCTAATGTCTGAAAGAATAATTAAAAAAAAAACAATCTTTTTGTATTTTACAATTTAATAGCGACTTAAGGCTTACTTCGCTCGGACGCGTATAAGATGCTTACCACTAGCCTATTTGAAGTTATTCTAGGTCATATTGGGCATAAAGGCAAGAAACGAACTTGGGAGGTCGCACCTCAGTGGGCGTTGTATAGCGATGACCGGTCTGACCGGTGGTCTGCCGCGACAGGTGAGCGAATTGTAAAAGGAAAGGTATTCTTTAGAATTCCCTCAAATTTATAATTTTAGTTTTAATTGTATAGTTAAATAAGTAGTGCTAGGTGAACATGATATGTAGATGTACTTTTGGTATAGTTAAAGAAACTTGGTAGTGGAAACTTAGCGATTGCGGTCGTTATGAAGCGCGCCGCCGGCGAGGGCGTTTGTTCGGGGGAAATCGCTGTAGCCTCAAAGATATCTATTATCTGTTGCTTCATATTTATACTAGCGGCCCGCCTGACTTCCTCTTTTGTAGGTGGCTAACCGTAGCCTAGGGCCTAGGTCTACTAGGTCAATGTGGTACTCCAGGTTATATTCTATCTGATTATTAAATTTTATATAAATTGATTTACGCGCACGCACGCACACACTTGATTGCCGTGTCTTGTATGTTTGTCGATATTTGCTAACGAAGAGTGAGTTAGTTTACCCGGAAGTTATGCTAGACTAATTTAATCCGCCAAATTAAGTGGTCACGTGGAATATAACTTTTATAAAAAAGTCCTTCGGAATGTGAACGAGCGGAATGAAGACGGGTCACTAGTTAAATATATTTTGAAAACGTTTTGTTTGAGGTATAACAGATGCCAGCCAAACCTTGTTTTATTTAATTTTTCGAATTGTGATAATGGTAAAAACTGAGCTATCATTATTTTGGCATTTCCTAATATGTACAAATAGGTGTTTAATGTCTACAAAAGTATCGAAATAAGTTCAATGAACACTTGACATTGGCAGGAATTAATTGCAATTGTTATTGCCGTAACTAAAGCAAAATAATATTTTCTTCTCTGTTTGAGTTTGCCTGGATAATTGTAAATTAAAACTAGTTTCATTTAAATCCCAATAGATCCAAAGATATGATTTGAGTTTTCCCATTACAAGTGGAAAATTTGCTAAGAAAATACAAATGAACATACAAGCGAAGTTACAGGCAGTGGCACGTGACCAACACAAATATTTTCTAGTCCAAACATCGAACCCACTACTCAAGAAAGGGATTAAGGATTTAGT